AAAGTGAAGGACTACTACTGTATATGATGAGTGACTTAAGTCACTGTTCTATTGCTGTGAAGAGAGACCAGGACCAAAGCAACTCTTATAAAAGAAAGCATTTAATTAGGGGCTTGGTCCACAGTTTCAGAGGCTTAGTCCATTCTCATGTTGGCAGAGAGCATGGTGGCAGGCAGGCGTGGTGCTGAGAGCTATCTTGATCCGCAAGCATAAAAAGAGACTAGGCCTGGCATGGGCTTTTGAAACCTCAAGGCCCACCCCCAGTGACACACTTCCTCCAACAAGGCCACACCTACTCCAACATGGCCACACCTCCTAATCCTTCTCAAATAGTGTCACTCCCTAATGACTAAGCATTCAAATATGTGAGCCTATAGGGGCCATTCTTATTCAAACCACCACAGTGACTAATTGCTATGTATGTCTTCAACAGAAGAGCTGATGTACTTATTGTAGATTACTAATAGTCCCTCTGAAATCCCTGCCTCTTCTTTTGAGGCAAGGTCTCACTCTGAGACCCAGGATAGCCTTGAACTCACAATCTTCCTGCCTCAGTCTATCACACACTGAGATAACAGACATGTACCACCATACTGGCATATTACTAGCTTCTAACAAAATAACACTTTTATGGCATTTTACTTATTTATTTATTTATTTATTTCTACACATGAATGAAGGCATCTTGATATAATACATAAGCAGTTCTTCACACTTAGAGTGCACATGTCAAGGTCACAGGGCTGACCAGGCCAGGGAGAGCATGAGATTAAGAATCTTCCAAATACTGAAGCACACTGATGTTGCCATACAGACATTTGCAGTGATGATGAAAAGCAATGGTAGATTAAACCATTGCCATCTTTGCCCTCAAAACTATCACTGCCAGAGCTGGGCGGTGGTGGCGCACGCCTTTAATCCCAGCACTCGGGAGGCTGAGGCAGGAGGATCTCTGTGAGTTCAAGGCCAGCCTGGACTACCAAGTGAGTTCCAGGAAAGGCGCAAAGCTACACAAGAGAAACCCTGTCTCGAAAAACCAAAAAAAAACAAACAAACAAACAAAAAAAACCCTATCACTGCCATTGGTAGACAAACTCAAAGCCACACACATTAAAAAGAAATCCCAGTTGCACTGCAGGATATTCTTGCGGAGGCACCAAATGGGCTGTGGAATAATCCTCCTGTACGCTGGAAATGTGTTGCTCGTGTTGTTTTTATAAAGAGGACTGGTCGATAGCTAGGCAGGATTTCCGGGGCAGAGAAAAAGCTGGGAAGGATGGGAGTCTGGGGAGTCAAAGCCAGATGCAAAAGAACCAACACGGGAAGTTCACAGATGAGGTAAATGAGCCTCAGAGTAGCACACAGATTAATAGAAATGGGCTAATTTGCTGGGTGGTGGTGGCACATGCCTTTAATCCCAGCACTCAGGAAGTAGAGGCAGGCCTGCGAGTTAGAGGCCAGCCTGGTCTACAGAGTGAGTTCCAGGACAGGCTCCAAAGCTACACAGAGAAACCCTGTTTCAAACCACCCCCCCAAAAAAAAAGAAAAAGGAAAAAAGAAATGAGTTATTTTAAGTTGTAAGGGCTAGCTGGAGACAAGCCTAAGCTATTGGCCAAGCATTTATAATTAATAATAAGTCTATATGTGGTTATTTGGGAACCACTGATGGATCACAGAGAAACTCTGCCTACAAATATTGTTTATTTTAAACTTTCAACCCTTCAGTGTATACATATGGCCAGGCACACATACAGTACTTCTGAACACCCAAGTACAATGGTGTTTTAGAAGAGCTGGCTGCTCAAATCAAAGCATTTGTGAAGGTGAATGAACGGTGAGTCAAAATATCTTTTTTTCCCTCCCTTTCTTTTCATGGAATATCCTTTAAAGTTTTTTAGAAATTAAGTCAAAGCTGGGCAGTGGTGGCGCACGCCTGTAATCCCAGCACTTGGGAGGCAGAGGCAGGCGGATCTCTGTGAGTTCGAGGCCAGCCTGGGCTACAGAGTGAGTTCCAGAAAAGGCGCAAAGCTACACAGAGAAAACCTGTCTCAGAAAACGAAACCAAAACAAACAAACAAACAAAAAAACAAAAAAAAAAAAAAAGAAAAAAAAGAAAAAAATTAAGTCAAATTTTTTGCAAATGGGTCTTGCAATGTACTCTGGGCTGGCCTTCAACTCTTGATCCTATTGACCAATCTCCAATGCTCAGATTACAGAAATGTGCTACTATGCTTGATTATAATACTATTTAATTTAGTTAGTTAGTTAGTTAGTTAGTTAGTTAGTTAGTTTAGTTTCTCAAGACAGGTTTTCTCTGTGTAACAGCTCTGGCTGTCCTGGAACTCACTTTGTAGACCAGGCTGCCTTGAGCTCGAGATTCGCCTGCTTCTGCTTCTGCCTCCTGAATGCCACCATCACTTGGAGATGCATATATATATATATATATATATATATATATATATATATATATGTATATAATTTTTAATGACAAACAAATCAGAATGATTCTGCTTGCCGCATCAGTGTGAGGCTCTGGGTTCAATGCCCAGCACTCAAACAAAAATTGACTTAAATATTTAACAGAATACTAGTAGGTTTTGTGAGATGGCTCATGTCATCTCAGCAACTGGGAAGCTGAGACAAGAGGAACACGAATTCAAGGCCAGCATAGACTTTATATAGCAAGACCCTGTCTTGGGAAAAAAGAAAATCCCCAGAAAACTAACAAAGTGAGACTGTCACTTCAAGGAAAAATATGAGAATATACATCTCTAATAAAATTCCAGCTTTTAAATGAAAACTACAATTTTGGAGAATACTATATGCTACAGTGAATATCTGAAGACTTTTAATAAAGTAGATGATAACATTGAGGAATGTGATCATTGGAGAGCATATAACGAAGTATGTCAGCATCAGAAGAACTACATAACACAGCCACTAATTTCCAAATGAACTGTGATTGATGTTACAAAATTAGGCGGAGTACACTCTCCATTTAAAATGTAAGGTACACCAACTGGATTTCAATGTAGCAGAGTAAGAAGTACACAGTGGTACACACTTCCAACTCCACTCTGCAACCCATCCTGTAAAAACCACCATCTGTCCAACTTTGGTGTGATATCAAAGACCGCCATGGCTACCTTAGGAAGCTATTAAAATATTCTCTTTACAACTACATATGAACATGACGCAAGATCTTCCTTCTGAAATCAAAATAAAATAGAGAAACAGATTAAATGTAGAGGATTACGTAGGAATCAAGCTATTTTGTATTAAGTCACTGCTGCATCCACTGACAGATGAATGGAAAAATATGCATGTAATGTATTTATTACTATTTGATAAACACCCTAATCCTTTAAAACTGTTCCAGTTTTAATATTATATGGTTAACTATGGGCAGATATAAATAGACAAAAACGAAACTAACGTTCCTAGGTTTCCAGCAATTTTTGAAAGGTAATGGGGTCCTGATATTAAAAAAGTTAGAGAAGAGAGCTACTTGCCTTATAATTTATTCTCTCTTCTTGCTTTTCTAAGTGAAGACCTCCATTTCTAGGTACAGCTTCATTTGACAGCGATACCACTGACAGCCAGGAGACCAGAAAAACTACAACCACAACAGCAAACCCAGCCCAAATAATGGCCACAGTCATGACAAGAACTCTTCAGATTCACTACTGTTCCCTGGGTGCACAAAAACTGCAAGGACTAAGGAACACAAAGATCCACACAGATGAGTGGCAAGGCACAATAGAAAACTATGAAAAGCAGAAATGCTGACGGTTCAAAGTAGTTTTGTGCACATCTACAAAAACCACAAAGTCCTTTTTTCCCTGATGAAGTCTTACTTGAAATTTCAGTGTAGGGCAGATTTGGCAACGGGGGGGGGGGGGGGGATGGCGGCATTGTTTCCCGAAAGCCGGTATACCCGTGCGAAGAATTTAATTCCCTCACCATTTTGCTACTGGTCTGTAGCAGAGGGGTGTGGTTAGAGCGGCGCTAGGAAGCAATTCAAAGCAGCTGCCCAGGCTGCCCCAAACTGTGGACAAGCAACAATTCTGGGCCAAGTCCATTTGCCAGGGTAAGAGGCCGAATGGGAAGGAAGAAAATAAAAACGAAGTTAGAAAGCAAGGATGGAAATAAGTATCAAAATAAAAACGGTCCCGAGTGTATATTACACGCCCGGTACGCTAACATGTGCAGGAGGTGCCTATGAAAATGCTTTATTCCTGAGCCCAGAGCTGTGGCACTTGCTATATCTGCCAGGTCTGCAGTTCTGAAGGGAACGTCGGTCTGTCTTTTGGTATTCATTTTGGGTTGGGGTTGTGAACCACTATTCTTATGGACTGCGGCGGAGGCAATCCCAAACAAAGGGAAAGGATAGCCTCCAGAGGGAAGCGGGGTTGGGAAAGGTGGCCCCAGGTTGCTGCGCCAGGTGTCCCTCCGGAGTCCTCCAAGCAGGCAGAGGGAAGAGGCAGTCCCAGGAGCATCGCCGGGGTGCAGTAGGGCTGCACCAGGCCCCCACGGCATTCGCGGACAGACGACCCCACCCTGCCCACGGTCAAGGTTAACCCGCCCACCGGAGTACCTGTGGAGGCCTCGCACAGCCGAAAGGCACAGGGTGATCATGGGCACGCCGGGAGGCCGGCAGCAGCGGGCGCGTGGTCCTCCGGCCTGTGGGTGCGGCAGGCGGGCGGTGGAGTCTCCGGGCCCGGGAGCCGAGAGTGGGCCTTGCCGCCGAGACCGGAGCTCCAGAACGCGGCGGCCAGCCCTGCCAGCGCCCTCCCACGTGCTGCAGCCCCACGCCTGCGCCCGCGGCCCCGCCCCTCGGCCCGGCCCCGCTCCGCATCCGGCTCCGCCCCCGGACCGGCTCCGCCCCCGGACCGGCTCCGCCCCGTCCCACCCCTCGCCCCGCCCCTCTCCCTGTCCCGCCCCCACCCCCACCCACTCGGTGCCCTGCTCCGCCCCAGGGGCGGATCCAGCAAGACCCAGCGTCCGAGCGCCTAGCGAGCCGCCGGGTGGGTTGAGGGGGCGGCGGCGCTGTGGGAGCCGGGGAAGTTTGGGCGACGCGGCCAGATCTGCGATCCAGAGCGCCAGGCGCTCGAGCCTCGAGGACCGCGGGGGCAGGCGGACACGCTTCCCGACGCCCCCGGGGCCCGCAGCCGTCGTCTCGTGTCCTCTTGCCTGGTAAGGGGGCTTCTATCTGGGAAGGGTGCGTCTCCCGCGGCTCCAGATGGAGGCCTGCACCGCGCACCCCGTGCAAACCCGGTCTGAGCTGAGGCAAAGCCCGGGTGCAGCGGGGAGGGAACCATGGAGTGGGAGGTGGATGTGATTGGAGATGTAGGAGGGGAAGCTTGGAGGAGGTTGGACAGCACCCCCCAGCTCCCCATTCTCTCTCCCCCTTCTGCCCACGGGGCCTTAGTCAGTATGTATAATAACCTCTCTGGCCTAGAGACTGGGCTCGGCTTTAGGCTTCAAAAGAAGTACAAAGCCAATAAACATCCTAGCGGCGAGTACCACACCCTGGCCGTGAATTAGGGATCCCGGGGAGCAGATTGCTGATACGATTTAGTGGAAATAAGCCATTAATGCCGCCTGGCCCTGCGCCACTGTTTGGATGCATAGTATTCCATGTGAATGAACGCGGCCAGGAGCTTCCGGCTTGTCCACGAGAGCACAGCTGCTGCAGACAGGGCAGGTCGGTTTGTAGTATCCATCCGTTTAGAGGGTGGTTTCTGAGCCGTGTGTTGATTAAATAGAAACGCCGTTTATTAACAGTAGTACTCAGTGGTTGAACAACCTTTCCACAGAGCCTTGTCATCAGCAAGTAACTCAACCTACAAAAGTAGTGGAGTGTAAATTATTAATACATTAAAAAAAAAAAAAAAAGAAACACCTCTTGGAATAAAGGAAGATGCTCATTGTGGCTGCCTTCTGAGTCAGCAGTACTAAATCTCCCTCAATTCAAAGTGAGGCCTTTCAAGGGTGATTCTCCCTGTGTCTTTCTTGTATCTGTATCATATACATTGTTAAGACAGAATGAGTTTGCTACACATGTTTTGAAAACACGTCTTTTCACTGAGGCAAGCTTTAACCCAGTTTAATAGTGCTGGTTTTGAATGAACTTGTGGAATATATTACTGTAACAACATGTGCTTTCTTGACGCTTTAACGAGAGAAAAGGTCAAAGTAATGGATATTTTTGTTTTTATTACTTTTAACATAGTATATAACCACTGATACTTTCTTCTTTTTTCATCAGGGAGGTAGCCAAGCTTCTAAAATGTCATCCGTCAAGCCTCTGGTTTATGCAGTTATTCGTTTCTTGCGGGAACAAAGTCAGATGGATGCATATACTTCTGATGAACAAGAAAGTTTGGAAGGTAGGTACCTCCTGTTCTTTGTGTTCTTATCATAATTATGAAGAAAGGTTAAACAGCTATATCCCCAAGTTCATGATTTTTAATAACAAAATCAATATTTTCTTGAGAGGCTTAACTAGATGTGTTATTTCCATTTTCTGAGATTTGTTTTAACTAATAAAAAATACAACTATTGTTTATTTACTGAAAAATTATTGTCAGAAGTATGTCATTCATATTCTAGGGAAGTTGTTCTTGGTGGGGGGGGATTAAGTTAACATTGTTCCCACTTCACACATGAGGAAAAGAGATCACATGATTTCAGCAACAGAACAGTTACTATGTAACAAAGCTGAGGTTTAAATCCAGTTCATACTTCAAAGATTTTTCCCCCTCATTTTTCTAATAAGCAGAGGATCTCATTCAGAAGAACACTTGAAAATACCTTAGTCATTGCTATATCACTGTAAAAAAAAATCTAAGTAATTATACCATGACTGAGCTCTAGCAAATGATACTTTGGGAAATGAGAGGATTTTGCACTTGTTTTATGGGAGCTTTAAATCTCGGCTTCAGTAATCTGTAAAGCTGAGCAGGACTGGAGAAGCACCATGCATTTCCTTGATACCATCTTGGTGCTTCATGTTTATGAATGATAAAGTTTTAATTCAGTACAGCTGTAAGAAGATGGCATGATGTAGATAGAGAGGCTTCAGAAAGCCTAGCTTCCTTGTGGTCCAAAGACTTAATTGTTGCAATGAGAGCACATTGGGGTGAGCTGAGGAAATCGCAGAACAGTTTGAATTTCCCATCTCCAGGCTGCTTCTCCAATAGAGGGGGACTCCTCTATTAATTCTGTGTACTTTCATTGTAGATAGGCTTTAAGTAGGTGTAAATCAAAGCTGGGCATTTGTTCTAAATCATCCTGTGAGGTGATGTCTTTCCAGGTGGCAATGGGAGGAGCAGGTGAGGCACTGTGGGAGGACATTGCAAATTAGCCCTCTAATAGTAAGGTCTTTTTGTCCTCCCTGGCTGTGTGAAGATAAAGGTAGCTTGGCTAGCAAAGGAAAGTCTCGGTTGTGATTGCTCTGTAGCCACAGAGGAAGGCAATCACATAAGAGATATTTCTTCTCTAATCTAAGGCAGTATGGTGTTTTTATGAAGCAGAAAGAAAATCGGGAGTATTTTAAAAACCAAGATGTTATGCCCTATTTTTAGAATGGCGTTCAGCCAAAAATATGTGCCTTCAGCTGTTTGTTATATATGGAGTCGGCAGTGGTGCCAATTGTTTGTGACTGACCCCTATTTTTGACTCTGTGAGTCTAATTTAATTGAACATGAAGTCATGTGGAGGTGTCTGCCCACCTTCGAGACATTTGAAAATGCCTTGGGAGAGGCTCCGTCGTTCCAGCACATTTACCACTGTTGTGGAGCTGGGCTTCATCAGCTTTGACGTTCGTCACCAGATCGTGTCATCCACTCCTCCCGATTGTTGTCGCCTCTGACATCTGCTTCACTTTGGAGTGTTGTCCCTGCAGCACACTTGTCGCTCCCGCAGGCACTGCTCCGTCCTGAGCTCTTTCCCATCCTGATAAACTCCTCCGGGGTGAGTCTCACAGTTCTCTTCCACTGGCCGCCGCTGGCGCTTCTCTCCGCCCCTGATTTCAACCACTTGGTTACACACTAGGTCGGTGTTTCTGAACCGAGGGTCATTTTGCAAAGTCTGGAGACATCTCTGAGGGTCACAACCTTTGGGGAGGCTGGCATTACCGGCCTCTCATGGGTAGAAGCCGTAGATGGTGCTAAGCCCTCGGCACTGGCCAAGAAGGGCCCTGATAACAAGGAATTACGTGATCTAAAGTGTCAGGTGATGAGATGCAGAGCCTCTTTCCCAGACCATATCATCCCCAAATTGTATTCCACCAGCCATCTCTATCTAAAACATCTTACTTCCCGACCTCTACTGTCTGTGTCTCTAGCACACTCTCTCTAGTATCCACATCCCAACAGTCCCTTGACCACCCCTCCAAGCTGTTGATCTCATCCTTTCCCCTACCTCTGCCTTACTTGTCTTAAACCCTGCGCTGGATCATTATGATGTTTTCTTGTATAATTTCTCCTGTCTTGAAAAACCAAACCTTAATTGTAATTTTCTAACTACTGAGTTAGGAAATGCCCATATCCATTTGACTATACATTAATGGAGCAAAATGTACAATTTTGCTGACTGACTGTATTAATTCGTGACTGAAAACCTTAAGCAGACCTTCAGTGCTGCTGGGTGACCAGGGTATTTGTTCCTCATTCATTCATTCATTCATTCATTTGTTCATCCTTGTTATTATCCTAGATGGTCATTTTAATAATCTCTTTTATCTTCTGAAACTCCAGACTTCTAGTCCAGCTTTTACCATGAAAAAAGAAGAAGAAGAAAACAACATCTACCAACTTCCACACTCCTTATATTCACTCCCTGCCAATACCCTCATGCTTTGCCTACCTGCCTGTCCATTACCGTAGGTGGAATAGCTACATCTCTTTCTCAGAGAAATCTCTCTCCTGGCACATTTTGTCCCATCCTATCTCACCTGCTAGGATTTTATATAGATTCTGTTTGTCCTACATCATCAACTTTTCACTCCACTGGATCATTTTCATTCAATCATAATAAATGTACCATTAGTTCCTCTCTCATTGAAAACAAAAGCAAAAACAAGAAAAGAAAAATGAATAGGGATGGAGAGATGGCTCGTTGGTTAGAGTGCTTGATGTTCTTCTAGAGGACCCAAGTAAGGTGCCCAGCCCACGATGAGTGGTTCGCTCCCTCCAATAGCCCTAGCTTCAGGAAGATCTGAAGCCCTCTTCTGGTCTCTGAGGGCATATTGTTTACAGTCGATACACAAATACACACACACACAAGTGAAAATAATTTTGGGGGGGATAGAGAGTTGGCTCAGTGGTTTAGAGCACTGGCTGTTCTTCCAGAGGACTTGAGTTAAATTCCTAGCACCCACATGGTGGCTCACAACCATCTAGCCCCATGGGATCCAATGCCTTCTTCTGGCCTCTGGTAGCACCAGGAGCACATGTGTAGCACTGACATATATACGTACAGCCAAAACACCCATAAACATAAAATAAAAAGAGGATTTTAAATGGATATTCTTGTCATTGTACCCAGTACCTCTTGTCTGAATTTTTTCCTTCCTTTGTAACAAGACTGTTTGAAAAGTTGTCTATACTTGATTTCTCCAATTCTTCTCTTAATTTTAAGAGAATCCTTTATAATAATCCTTTATCTTCATCCATTTTACTCTCATTAAGGGCATTAGTGATTTCTGTGTTTAGTTAAACAATTAGTTCATATTCTTTTTTTTGTTTGTTTTGTTTTTCTGTTTCTCGAGACAGAGTTTCTCTGTGTAGCTTTGGTGCCTGTCCTGGAACTCACTTTGTAGACCAGGATGGCCTCGAACTCACAGAGATCTTCCTGCCTCTGCCTCCACTGCCCAGTTAGTTCTTATTCTTTATCTGACTTACTAATTCTTTCTTTCATCCTGTTCTCATGTATTTTACTTATCTTCTAGAACATCTCCTAATCCTCGGTTGTCATCTCCCTTCATTTCTTGCTCTTTCTCACCATTGCTGATTCCCTTTTTCCTGATCCATCATGCCTGTAGTTGACAGCTTGATTTATTTTTTCCACTGTCTTCACTCATTTCTTTGGTGAGAGTATTTAGCTTATTGCCTGAGGTACCCCAAATTTATATGCTTAGAACTGTAACCCCAGTCCAGACCTTTTTTCTAAACCTAGCTTTCTATATCCAGCTTCCTACCACATATCTCCACTTGCAAGTCTAGTAGGCATCTCACAATTAACATTGCCAAAACTGAACTCACAGTTCTCCCACCTAAAATCTGTTCTTTCCACAACTTCCCTCTCTCAGAGAGAGCAGCTCCAGAGTTCCCTTTGCTTAGGCCAAAAACTTGGGCATCATTCTAGGGTCTTGCTTTCTCATAGTCTATATCCGACTGTTAATAAATCTTGTTTGTGCCTTCAAAAGTCAGTCTGTCCTTCTTTCTTTCTCAAGGTCTCATTGTATGTCTGTGGCCAGAACTCTCTATATGGACTCGGTTGGCTTCGAACTCATAGAAATCTGCCTGCTTCTGCATCCTGAGTGCTGGAATTAAAGGTGTGCACCATCACACCAGGACTGAAAGTCTGTACTTCCAAATGCATCTTGAGTCAGCAGTTAGGGAATATAGTTCCGTCATAGACTGCTTGCCTTGTGTGCCCTGCTGTGCATAAGTCCCCAGTACTGCAAAAACCAACCAAACAAAACCATAAAATAAAATTTGAGTCTAACCACCTCTTACGGCTTCCGCTGGTGTCTCCCCAGGTTGAAACTGCTCATTGCTTGTTTACTGTGGTAACCCCTTTCTTCCCCAGTTCTGGCTCCCTGGACGATCCAAACGTGTCCATCTCTTAAGACTGTGGCAGATTCATCTCTTAAGACTGTGGCAGATTCTGTTGCTCTTTATGCAGAATCTTGCCAGGACTCCTTATGTTACTTAGTCATTGCATAAAGTATCTATATAATTTGGGCATGTTGTCCACCTACTGCTTTTCATTTGGTTTCAGCCAAATTAGCTTCCTTACTGCGAGGCCCCAGATCCTTGTGCCTAAAGGCTTTTGCTCTGCCTGTTTCCTTGGCCTGGAATAGCCTCCCATCATCTGTACCTCTGTAATGATAACACTTTTGTCTGCTCCCAGTCTGCCGGATTTCTTTTTCAAGGAGGCCTGCCCTGAACTCTACGTTAAATCTGCAGTCTGCATTCCTGCTCAGCTCCCAGCCTCCCCGTCCTCCTTACCCTTGTTTCTTATTTATAGCCCTCTTCTCATCCTCTGCTCTGAGAGGTTAAGGTTCTATTCTGCTTGATTCACTGGTATAGCAGGTATTTAGAAAGGAACCTGACATGTGATATGTGCTCCATATGTATTTGTTGAATTGAATTCTAGGGCTGTACTTACCTGATCTTTATCTTGGTTTCTAAGTCTCCTGGGCAGAATACATCAACCCCTCCCCAAAGAATGTTTCTGAAGTGAATCTATCCTGTCTGTTTAGCTCTGAAGTTGCATGGCCTGGTTTGTGGTTAATGGCTTGTTTTTGTTCTCTTGATCTATTTTTGTGTTTGTGAACTTATGTTTGGGTTTTGCTGTTTTGGTTTTGGTAGCCAGTGATGGGCAGGAGGAATGTTCTCTGCCCTAGATCTGATCATTTTAAAGTTCCTTGGAAATTAAAGTATGATTTTTACTGTAGACAAAGAAGCCAACAGATTCCATTTATTGACCATCTACTACTTGCCAAGCTCTGTTAAAGTCAAAGACAAATAAGATAATAGGCCCTGTGGTCAAGGAGATGGTTTAACATGAGATACATGCATGGCAGTGCATGTGACGTAGAGCGATCCTTCCAGTCATAGAACCCTACAGAGTACACGGCCCAGTAAAGAATGACAGTTGGATCCTGGATAGAGGGTGCAAGGGTAAGCAAATACATGTGCATACATTTTTAATATTTTAAGTATGTGTCATGGCACCAAGAGCAAATCTATTTGCAGTCCAGTATTTTAAATGCAGCTTCATCTGCGTGGGAGAAATAGAAAAGGAGAAAGCCACATTCTTGTAGTTCTAGCTACTGAGGAGGCCTAAATATCAAAACACAGAAAGGGAAAGAAGAAAGTATAAGTGAATAGGTTATTTTTCTCCCTAAAAGATACTTGTACTTCTTATTGCTTAGAACTCGGTGCTTTATTCAGGCTCTTTCTAAGGAGAATTTTCTTTTCTGTGGCTGCTGAAAGTAATAGTATTTATTTTATGACAGGGATATTTTCCTCAAGACCACAATTAAAACAAAGTATCTTTTAAAAGTCCTGTAAAATGTGCATGCCTCTATTCTGATGTCGGAAGGGCAGTGACTATTTTGACCATGTGCTTGGTTTCTTCTCCGGCTGGAGCACCATCAGGATAAGAACCAGTTTGTCCCCTCAAAAGGGTCCTTGCAGGGGGGACAAAGTATGTCTCCTCACTGCTTCTGCCTTGGGCTGCTCAATCATGTGTATCATTTGAGTGGGAGCCCACCTGATTTCCTGTCTCTGTTCAGCCTATTCTCAGCATTCTTGTCAGTCTTTCAGTTCTAAACACAGTCACCGTCCTTTGCTAAATCCTTGAAAACCCTCCATTTTCCAGTTGCAGAGTCCCACTCTTGAAAAATGTCATTGAAGCTGCCTTGTGATCTGTTAAGTCTTTGATTCTTACATAATCTCCCTTCGTGTCTTTGCATCAGTCTGTACCTTGTACCCTCGCTGTCCCAACCAGTTATTTTGTCCTCCACCAAAAATAGACGAGGCAACTGCCATCATTTAGCATGCTGTATATTTTGTTTTAGGATATGGACAGTGATTTGTTTTTCCTGTTATGTTTATTGCTGCTCCTCCCACACCTTGAACAGAACTTTACACGTAGTAGGCACATAGGAAATCTGCATACATGAATGAATATTTTAAAACAGACCTATTTTTGTGTTACTGTGCCAGGATTGATATTTAGTGCCTGCTTTGGGCCAGGTATTATATCTCTCTTACTAATTTTCATCAAGTTGAAAAATCTTGTTTTTCATATATAAAAGATGTATAACATTTTAAGTTTGTTTGATGCATTGGTAGTCAATTAGTAGGTATCAGGATTGGAATGTAAGATTAATGTTATGTTCTTCTTTTTGATGGCCTCCATCAAGATTATGATGTGCTACATATGTGCAGAAATTATATTCTAGCTAACACTTACTGTTTAGTGAGAAATAAGAGACTGCTATCTTTCTTTGATAGCTCGTCTATAAATAGAAATCTCTATGCAGCTGGACCAATTAGTTCTTCGTCTGTTCTTTGGCCATAAACACTGATTTACTATAGATTACATTTCTGTAAGGAAAACCAGAAGGTTCCTTTTTAAAGTTGCTAATCCCCCTGCCCTTATTCTATTTCAAGTTGCAATTCAGTGCTTGGAGACAGTTTTTAAGATCAGTCCAGAAGATACACACCTAGCAGTTTCACAGCCTTTGACAGAAATATTCACAAACTCCGTCTGTAAGGTATGTTGGCATTTTTTTTTTTCCTCTCAATAGTATTTGATGCAAGAATGATCCAGTTTTATCTTGACCTATTTTTTGTTTGTTTGTTTTGGTTTTTCGAGACAGGGTTTCTCTATGTAGCCCTGGCTGTCCTGAAACTCACTCTGTAGACCAGGCTGTCCTTGAACTCAAGAGACCTACCTGCCTCTGCCTCCCAAGTGCTGGAATTAAAGGCATTCACCACCATTGCTCGGCTTATCTTGGGCTCTTAATAGTTGAGGGGATAGGTCTACAAATAATCAGCTTCTTCCTGGATGTTATTTAGGAACTAAAATATACCTCACCTAACGTGCTTTAGATGTTCCTATTAGCGACTGTTCTCACAGTCTCACCTTGCCTACTTTGAAGTCTTTCATGGTTTATTTTTAAATTTCCAGGATCTATGGTGCCGGAGAGATGGCTCAGCAGTTAAAGCACACACTGCTGGTGCAGAAGACCAGGGTTGTGTGCCCAGCGCCCACTTTGGGTGCTGCCGTTCTAATGCGGTACTGGAGCTTTGCATGATGAGGATTTTGGGAGTGATGCTGGCACAGGACGCGTTAGCGTCAGCTCTGTGTGGATGTTGCTGACAGTACATTCGGCTGCGTTTCCCACACTCTGTTTCTAGAACTTGGTGGCAAGAGATCCTTAGAGTACTTGCAATGAAGATGGAATTTGGTAGCTTGGGCCTCAGAAGAGAGTCACGCAGGCGCAGGTTAACTCACCAAGCAGATGAGCTCATATGGCAAGACGTGAGGAGTGACATGTCTCTGCTCTTTCTTTGGTCTCCACTTGGATTAAGACGGGCTGTTTGCCGTTTTCATTGTGTCTGAGCTTGTGGCTTCCTGAGGCAGCCTGCTCCAGTTGCCAGATTAGACCATGACTGAAGCAGATCTTTATGCTCAGCTTCCCAAGGGCTGTGTATCAGACAGCACTTGGCGTTTGCTTGCTCTCAAGCTAGTGTCTCCACTGACGGTACTGAAGGTAGCTGCTAATTACCACGGTTCCTGTCTTCCAGGAACATCCAGTTGACTTTTATACTCTACTTGAATAAAGCTCTTCAGCTGTAACTCCCTGATTGCACTTAATTGTGAGAGATTTGTTGTATACTCTTTTTAAGTTGTGAATTTGGTTGAGACTGACTCCCTGTAACATCTTCAGGATATTATTTGTGGTAACATCATCCTTTAGTACCCAGGTCTACACCTGTGCTTCTTCTCAGCATATTGACACGATACAGCAGAGAAAGTCTGAAGTGTGTCTGAAGCAGCATTGACATCATTATGATTAGCATTGACGTCGTCGTGATTAAAGAGTTTGTCTCATCAATTGTACTTGAATGTGGTGTTAGTCACTTACATTTTACAATTCTGCTTTTTCCTTCCAGCCCCTCAGCTTGGTTTATACATATATGAAATGGACTTGTTCCCTTGATTTAAAGCATGTAACAATTGCCAACACATTTTAAGGCATTCAGATTTTTGTCAGTGAATATGATGAATTTATTTTCAGGGTAAAACTGTGATTATATTTTATAAGTTAAGGGGTTAGAAAAGAAAATATATTATAATCAATTTTTCATTAGGCCATTTTTTTCTGACCCAGATTATTCATTTTTTAATTAATTAACTGCATAGGTTGTTGGAAGTTGTAAAATGGAAGGCTAAGAGCAAGTTCTATAGAGCAGTAGGGACCGTGTCTTAGGATCATAGTTAAGCAGTGAGTACTCATGAGTGTTCCACTTTGTTTCTGTTTTTCATTTGATATTTTATGCTTCATAAGGAAGGATTTTTTGTTTGTTTGGTTTTTAAATTTTATTTATTTATGTATCTTTTTAGGTCTGAGTGCTCTGTCTACATGTATGCCCGCACACCAGAAGAGGGCATCAGACCCCACTATAAATGATTGTGAGCCACCATGTGGTTGCTGGGAATTGAACTCAGGACCTCTGGAAGAGCAGCCCTTGTTCTTAGTCTCTGAGCCATCTCTCCAGCCCTGTTTGGTGTTTTTTGATGTTGTTGTTGTTGTTTGTTTGTTTGTTTGTTTGTTTTCAAGACAGGGTTTCTCTGTGTAGCCTTGGCTGTCCTGGAACTCACTTTGTAGCCCAGGCTGGCCTTAATTTAGAGAGTTGCCTGCCTCTGCCTCCCAAGTGCTTGGATGAAAGGCGCACGCCACCACCACCTCACCGCCACTACCTGTTTCTGTTTGTTTGTTTGTTTGTTTGTTTATTTTGGTTTTCCGAGTCAGGGTTTCTCTGTGTAGCTTTGCACCTTTCCTGGAACTCACTCTGTATCCCAGGCTGGCCTCGAACTCACAGAGATCCGCCTGCTTCTGCCTCCCGAGTCCTGGGATTAAAGGCGTGCGCCACCACCGCCCGGCTCTTGTTTGTTTTTAAAGATGAAAGTCAAATTCTTTGTCAGTGATGTTTCACTATTCAATATTTATTTTTAGTTAGCAAAGTACATTTCCATGTTCCATTTGTCACTTTGCTTGAAACTTTAGTTCAGACAAAGGGTTGCCTTGGATTTTAAATGTACTATGGTGGCATAAAAGCTACAAATTCTTCTTCTTTTCAATGTTGTAGACTTATTTTTAACTTTAGAGTGAAGTTAAAAACAATATAATTTTTAAAAGGTCTCCCAAAAATGCAAAGATACAGATGTTTCCATTGTCACACAGAGTATGATTGAATGCTCAGTTTACATTTATAAGCACCTTTGGTTGAAATTTATGCCTGGGAGGTTTGAGGATGGTAGTAGGTGCTGGTACAAAATTTCATGTGTTGTTCATCTTGCCCATTAGTTACTATTTGACTATTGTTTAAAACACTGGACCATACAGAGACATATAAGGATGAGACTGAAATGTTTATTTCCAAATATTAAAACTGTTAACTTTGGGGATACACCTTCCCAGTCTTAGTGTGTAAATCTGTGTGTGAGCACATTTTTAATGTATCTTTAAATGATCACATTATAGATGCACTTTTTTATTGATAAACAGTATTAAGATACACGTCTTAGGATAATAAACACTCTGTTCCAGAAGTTTCTACTTCTAGTCTTGTTCTTTGTATAGCAATTTCATATTTTGTTTGTGACATGGAATTTCTGGCAATGGGAAAAACATTTGGGGGTGGGGGTGGGGATAAAGAAAGCTGGACCTATAATTCTAACTCCAATGAAGGAGAATTATAGGTTTGATGCTTGTCTGGACTATCAGGTGGGTTCAGGGATGGCCTAGGCATCTTAGTGTGAAAGACCCTACCTCAGAGTACCTTGAAAGGAGCAAAGCCAGCACGCTGGTGGTGCAGTTCAGTGGTCATGTTCTTGTCTAGCATTTGTGAGGTCCTCGGGTGAATCCCAGAACTGGAAAAAAAGCTGGTTCTCAGGTACCTATTGTTTGCTAGAAAAGTTCAACAAATCATATTTCTAATAAAATACATGAGAGGGCCGGGCGGTGGTGGCGCACACCTTTAATCCCAGCACTCGGGAGGCAGAGGCAGACGGATCTCTATGAGTTCGAGGCCAGCCTGGGCTACCAAGTGAGTCCCAGGAAAGGTGCAAAGCTACACAGAGAAACCCTGTCTCGAAAAACCAAAAAATAAATAAATAAATAAATAAATAAATAAAAAAAAATACATGAGAGGACTCTTCCCCTTTTCTTGTCAACACTTACAAGTTACATTTAGCGAAATGGAATTACAGACGAGTCACTAAAAATGTGTGCAATTATTATTATTCATAGATTTCTGATGACTTTTTGTGTAGCTAAAAAGAAGCACATTTTGATACATTTCAGAATGACATTCAGCCCCTTTCAAACTCGGTGCCTGAAGACGTGGGAAAGGCCGACCAGTTGAAGGATGAAGGTAAATACTGCCTGCAGAGGTTACTGTCTGCCTCTCTGGAGACAGCAGCCCTGAGGGGATCGCATGATGGTCTGCGCTGTCAGGACTGCACTGTCGTAATCCCTGTGGCACTTGTGGAGCAGGTGGGAATGTGATGCGTAAGAGGCCTGGCGGCACAGGATGCCTTGTCAACACCAAGGCAATCAAGAGTAGCCAATCTCTTGTAAGCTTCGCCCAACAAAAATACCTTGTGAGCTATTTACTTGGAACTGCATTTGCTATTCGATTCAAATTCTTCTTTATTTCTCATCAAAAAGAGGTCATTAATTTTAAGTGTTATTTTAACTTTCACATAACTAATGTTTTTTTAAAAAGGTTTCTGAGGTTAATTCATGCATGCGTACGGCATTTGTCATGTTTGTTAGCTAGTATATTTGATTACACCCTTGTCCTTCAGTGTTTTTCATTTCAGGATCACATTATAAAGTTCTGTGCTTTGGACAAGTAGGTTAGTCCCTGTTTTCAGTTTTGTTTCCTGTAAAAATGATATTGTCAGAAGGCCATGAAGTCTTAAAATACGATGACCTCATAATTTTCGCATAAAATAAAAGCACCGCCCAACGCTCGCCGCCGCTTGAGTTGTGTTTCCCAAGCTTTTATATCTCAGCAATCCAGATACAAATACGTTTTTCACGTTAGACTTTCAGATTGGAGCAGCTTCACTGGGAGTTTTTCTCCCACTCATGTTTTGCACTGTGTGAACACTTCAGGGGTGCTGCGCGGTCTCTACCGCCACTTTATCGTGGCAGCTGGTTTAGTTCTGGTCGTAGCGTTCCGTACCCGGCCAATTGAAATGTTATTTTTGTCCCTCGTGCTGTTTGGCTCTGCGTGGCAGCCCTGGGAAATGGTCATCCCTGTGGAGTTTTTTGTTTGGTTTTGTTTTGATGTAATGAGTGTTTAGGAGGATGCGGGTTGGAGGGAGGTGTAGCATGGGACTCCAGCACAGCGCTTGGAGAGACCGGCTTTCACCTTGAACAGAAGCCTTTTGGTCTTCGTTTTTCACTGGGACACGCCATGTGTCAGGCAGGCTATAGGCCATTCTGTCTAGATGGTGTTACTTATGTGAAAACAACTGGTCTTGGTTGGTTGTCGAGCCTAGGGTCATTCCAGGCTGGCAGTGTACCCTCCTGGAGCGTGGCTTTCCGATGGCTCCCGCGCTTCTCAGGGGCAGAAGGAAGCAGGAAGGGCTTGAGGCTGCCGTCTCCGGATGGGGCTGAGACTGGAAGGAGACTGTTTTGTGGGAGAATAGCACACAGCTATAGAGTGCTAGGCCAGGGCTTTATCGCTGTGTATGTCTATTCCATTTGTATCCTCAGTTTGCATGTTGGCTATCTTACAGACGGAAGCTTTCTAGTCTTCCACCTGTGTTACAGTACTTGCATGTATTTGTAATATCTATATACCCATTACAGTACCTACACATTTAAGGTGGCTCACAGCAAAGGCCCGGTAACGTTTTAATGCTGGTGAGGGTGAAATGCTACCCCAAGGCAAAAAGGTCCAACAGCAACAGCAAAAATCTCAACCAAGAGAGAGAAAGTCTTTGACAAAGAGATCTATTTAAATACCGCAGACTAATGTAGTTAACTCTTTTCTTAATCATAAAAAGTTTGTTAGCCTTTTAGATTTCTTAAAAAGTTCATGTCAGGCAGTGATGGCACACTCCTTTAATCCCAGCACTCGGGAGGCAGAGGCAGGAGATCTCTGTGAGTTCGAGGCCAGCCTGTTCTACAGAGTGAGTTCCAGGACAGCCAAGGCTACACAGAAAAACCCTGTCTAAAAAACAAACAAAACACAAAGTTCTTTATATTAATGACTCTTGGAGGAAACCGCCTCAGATTAATTTATTAGAAACAGATTCCTTGACCTATTGAGTTGCTGTTTTACTATGTTTATAACATTCAAAGATTTTACAACCAAATCAGTTATTACCCATTTTTACCCGTTACTCAAATCCTCGTGTACAGTGGCTTTTGCTTACCTTGGAAGCTTAACCCCTCGCCTGTCCTTTCCTCTCCCAGCTCCTGCTCTCTGCAGGCTTCTCCCCCACTTTCCTACTAAGCAGCTAATGAACCCGAACGGAAAACCGGGGAATCGTAGAGCTCTGAGACATAAGTCCCTCACCCTCGTCTCAGTTTTACAAGTTTCGGTTTTAACCCGTGGTTCTTACCAACACACTGGACACTGCACCCCTTCATGTGGTGCAGGAGCAGAGCTAGTCACAGGAAATCCCTTACTTCACTAGTTAAATTATTGCCAGCTGTATGTGCAGTTATCCTTCCTGAAAAGTCAGTACTCAGAATGGCATCTGAAATTCGGTCTCTCTAGAAATTAATCTCCTACAATCTCCTTAAAATGATTCTATCCCTTTTAAAAAGGATATTATCTGCTAAGGACATATTAGCACAATTGGCTTCACCAGCGTCCTCTCAGCAGCCTATGGCTGCCCAGAGCTGAGTGTGTGTCGAAAGGAAGAGGGGGAGGTCGGGTCCGGCTTGAGGGGGTGGCTGAGGAGAAAGGGAAGAATGCAGACCGCTCTGAATAGGAGCAGAGTGAGGGAGATGAAGAAGGAGAGAATACGTATCTATGACGTCGACACGGTGATTGCCTTTACCCCCACCACCTGGATCCTGTAAGTTATGCAGACATTCGTTTCCATGACTCCACATTGTCTAAATTATTCAAACACCATGAAACTAAGAACGGTAGCTCTATGGTGTGAGAGAAAATCGACCCCAGTGTGGCTGAAAAACACTGAGTGGGACCTTCATGTTACTGTCGTTTCTTTGGTTGAAGCGTCTCTGTCAGACTGCACGCCTTCATGCTTGGGGCTCACGGTAGCTGTCATTGATCTGATTGCAGGCAACAACCACATGAAAGAAGAGAACTACACTGCTGCAGTGGATTGTTACACACAGGCAATAGAATTGGATCCCAATAACGCGGTTTATTACTGCAACAGGTAAGGCAGCTCCGTGTCAGCACGCTCAGTCTGGAACACTGGGATTCACAGCTCTGAAAGGCGGATGTCAAATACGCTTGCTTAGAAAAATTCCAAAGTACAGGAAAATAAGCTGAAGGAGAAGAAGATGAAAAGAAAGCCATTAGCTTCGTTCAGAGGCCACCAGACTTAATATTCGTCTGGGTGGTGGTGGCGCACGCCTTTAATCCCAGCACTCGGGAGGCAGAGGCAGGCGGATCTCTGTGAGTTCGAGGCCAGCCTGGGCTACCAAGTGAGTTCCAGGAAAGGCGCAAAGCTACACAGAGAAACCCTGTCTCGAAACCCCCCCCCCCCCAAAAAAAAAAGACTTAATATTCTTTTAGAATATTTTGTCTTACAGGAGCGCAGTCAATTTTAGATTCAGCTTTGTTCACAATGCAATAATTGTATCTTTTTTTTTTTTTTTTTAAGATGGGGGGTCTCGTGTAGGTTGGATTAGTCTAGAACTTCCTGTGTAGTTGATGATAGCCTTAAACTCTGGTCCTCCTGCCTCAGCTTCTGGAATTCTGGGACAAATCTACCACACCCAGTTCATGTGGTACTGGGAATTGAACAGGGTTTTGTACATACTGGGCAAGTACTGTACCAGCTGCGGTGCATGTCCTAAGTTTTTGAAGTTCTTCACAAGCATTATTTAAATAGTCATCATTACCTTTTATTCCCTTTTGTATTTCCAGCACCTATAACTGGGGCTAGCAAACAAGCATTTAGTGTCGTATTTGAACAGGGTGGACTGTGTCTTTTATTTAACCCTTTATCTACCGTGGGCTCTAAGGTTGTTTCCATTTTCCCAGTGTCATCTAGATTCAGTGGACATCTGGGTTTCTAATGTTTTTTCCTGGACTTTAGAGCTATCCATAAAAAGCATCTGTTGGCTTACCAGTTACAAACATTTAAAAATTTGAAGGCAATTGAAAAATTGTTCTAACTTCTTTTGTTTCCTGCCCTAGGGATAAACGTGTCTATTTTTGACATGCTCTTTATGAGCATTAGGTTCCCTAATTATTAATGATCACAATTTTACTAGTGTCTTCATATAAATTATTATATTTCATATTTACTGGCTAGTCAGGCAGGGCAT